GTCAATTCGGAGGGTTCTGATTCATTTTGAAGAGATTAAAGGGTTCTCTGATTCAATTCAGATTTTGAGATTTGGCCACCGAATTAGGCCAAACTCCACTAAGTCAAATCAGGCACCGAAGCTTTGCATAGCCCTAGTGCTCATGTCTCATGACTAGCACTGGTGAACTAGTCCAGCTCTGTTAGGGACTCTCAGGTATTCTGTTGCAGACAGGGCAGGGAGTCTTTCAAGCTACGAGATTTCAACAAACATGGAGCACTTCATTCTAGTCAGTGCACAAGGCATCGGGCTAGGCAGGGGCTCATAACACAAATAAATAAGACCATGTGAAATGAAAACCTGAATCAGGCTGTAAAATGTACTTGTGGGAACCTAAATAAGTGGCTGTGGTAACAACATAAGGGCACTCCAACCTCCACTCCATGATAGCCCCTGGAGAACATTGTGTGCTTAAACCCTGGAGATTTATTGTATGTTGTGGAAAAACTGAAGTTGATTTTTCCCTAAGGTAACTTGAAATCAAAATTTGAAGAATAGGAAAATATTGTCTTCTCTGCTACTGTTATCCTCAATTGTTGTAAATTAAAAATAAGCATTAAAATAATTTCCAAACTATCAGAAATGCAAAACACTTCAAAACAGAAAATAAATCTGGACCCACACACTTGAGGTATTCACAACATCACAGACCCCCATTCCTTTGGTTACCAGAAGCCATGAGAACCCCCTGATGTATCTGCACAGTTGTTACAGGAAAAAGGGAGTGAGAAGATGGATACATTTTATCTAAAATGTCCAGATTAGAGCTGGAAGTTTAGATAACTGGTACAGACCATGAGGCTCAGAACAGAGGATTGTGGGATCTTTCACTCAAAGCAATCTCACTTTGAAGCAAATTGAAATATTTCTGGCACTGGCCTGAACAGCTGACTTCTACACCCTGATCCTGAGACATGTTTAGCCACAATAACACCCTTCAACTTCGATGCGAGCTGCTGGAGTTCAGCACTCCCAGGATCAAGCCATCAATGCCTTTCTAGACGCACACAGAATTCTTCAGGTTTGTGTAAAGTTTGCAGAAATGTAACCAACTGCAGGTGTCAGATTGTTTACTGCATCCCCTGCACTAGCCTGGCACAGGCTTACCCTTGGGAAGTCAGGAGGCCATAGTACATAGGATGAAAACATAGCAAAAACCTGGCATTTTAGGGACGCTGACTGGGCACAGAGCTGATCCTGGCTATACCAATATTGTGTGGTTGAAAAGGAAATAAAAGTTATAGCCTGGCTACCTGGCTGTGTGACTTTCTAATACAAAGTACCAATCTATGCAGTCTGAGGGGGTGACTAATGTATGAACCATGAGAGTGAGTGGGAAAGGTAGATTGCACATGTTCAGTGGTAATCCAAGGCTAGCACTGCACTGCATATTGAAAATAGCTTGTGGTACATCTATGACCGTTCACGTACTATCAAAATGAGAGACAAATGCATATGGCTGAATAGCAAAGTCCTACAGGAGTTCAACAAAATATGGAGTGCAGAGAAGGCAGGAAATTCTATTGAATGTTTCAGGGCTGTCTGAGTTGTATGGAAATCCACTTCAGCTGCAGGAAACTTGAGTAATCAAGACTTATGTGGGTGGGGGTCAGGTGAGTGGGTAGTGACATGAAACCTTCCTAAACTCAATGCTGGGGTGCAGCTATTGTTCTAGTCTGTAGCCCAGTGGACACCTGTAGTCCTTGCACGTACGCAACAGTGTTATTAATTTGTTTGCAGTTAGTTAAGGGATCATTTTCCTGTAACCGAAAACTCCCAAGAAGCTTTCTCTTTCCACCTATTTTATCATGTTCAGCCTGTTTTTTTTGGCATGTGTCACCCTCCCTGACTGTCCTGATTTGGTTATTCAGGTGTTCAAGATGTCATTGAAGGTACAGACAAGTAACATCACAAACAAGAATGACCCCAAATCCATCAACTCCAGAGTCTTCATTGGCAATCTCAACACAGCGGTGGTCAAGAAGTCAGACGTGGAGACCATTTTCTCCAAGTATGGCAGAGTGGTTGGCTGCTCTGTTCACAAAGGCTACGCATTTGTTCAGTACTCAAATGAGAGGCATGCAAGGGCTGCCGTCCTGGGGGAGAATGGGAGAGTACTCGCCGGGCAGACTCTGGGTAAGGAATTCTGATGTCCCCTCTCTAGTCTTCGTAGAGTCAGACAAACCATACCATGTGTCACAGCTACAGATACTGTTGGAGGGAAGGCCAAAACAGAGGCCTATAAACATTCACATGCTCTAATTGTTCCCAGAGGTCTCTGTTGCCATCCTGCATGAAAGAAGCCATCAGTCTGGTCCAGTGGCTGGGCAAGAGTGGGATGGGGCCATGAGATTCAAAGGATGTTTGGTGGTGGCTGGAAGTTGTTTGCTTTGCTTCTGAGAGAAGTGTGCTCTGCTTTGCAAGGCAGTCCAATCGAATTCCGGAAGGCCTTTGATACGGTATCCTACCCCATACTGGTGTACAAGTTAAGAGGCTGTGACTTGGATGATTGCACAGTCCGGTGGGTG